TCACTATATATATATATATCACTAGCAGTTGCCATGGTTTATTAAAAGATAATAGTTTATAATCAGATAAGATAAAATAATATATAAACTATATTATATATTGTTTAAATGATTAACTACACATTATTGTTTGTTTTTTATTTTACTACAAAACAATTTTAACCAAGTATGAAAATATTAAGATCCTAAATTAGTTTATTACACTTAATCCTACAATGAGCCGGTCTATTATGTTTTCTTTGTGTATGTGGACACGTGAATAAAGTCATACTGGAAGAGTTTAACCAATTATTTTTATTTACATAATTTGAATTCAGAAACTGCAGAGATGTTAATATGATCATTACGAAATAATAATGATATAATAACTGAAATAGGAAACTCTAAACTGTTCACAGTATAATGAATGGCAATCGTAGCACGGACGGTCTCGATCAGCATATTTGTCAAATACAGTAGGTGGCGATAATGCTCCAAATGAGTTAGTCACCATATATGGTTTGCCTAGATTGTGTGTGCCTGAAATGTGTGTGGTTCTGCGGGTCTGCAGCTGGATATATCTCCAATACTCAAGACCAGCCTGTCTGACACAACAACCATACCACATTCAAAGTCACTTAAATCACCTTTCTTCCCTAATCTGAGGCTTGTTTTGAACTGCCACAGACTGATTGACCATGTTTACATGCCTAAATACGTTGAGTTTCTTCCATGTGATTGGCTGATTAGAAATCTGCGTTAACGAGCAGTTGGACAGGTGTACCTAATAAACTGGCCGGCGAGCGTATATTGTGTAAATTTAAAAACAAACAAACAAACATAAAAACAAATTCCTGACTAACCAACAAATCAAACAAATGAAATAAGCAAAGACAAGAGACTTTAATAAAATAAATAAACAAGAAATTGGTAGTGGTATGGAGGACCAAACCAATAGATGAATAAATTAAATAAATAAATATGGAGGACCAAACCGGCAATAATAAACTGAACTGAATGAAAAAAAAAGACTAGATAGATAGATAGATAGATAGATAGATAGATAGATAGATAGATAGATAGATAGATAGATAGATAGATAGATACCAAAAAATAAACAAACAAACTACAATACAGTAAGATGTTTGAGTAATGGAGGTCGGCAAAGGTTAGAGAGAGAGCAGAAAACAAACAAGCAAACAAACAAACAAACAAACAAATAAATAGACAAAAAGTGTTTGTTTTTTGGTTTAGTTGGGTAGTATATTTCATCTATCAACACCACTAGAATTTGCTGCAATATACAGTCAGACACCAGAGGACGCTATTGTACTGAACACATGCTGCTCGTTCATCACAATCTGCTGTTTCAAACTCAGCCTGTATACGGCGATGATTAGTAGACTAAACACAACAGGCTTTTATAACAGTCACGAGAAGGTGAGTTGAGGAAAAACCAAAGCACACGTTTAACACGGCAGCAAAGCTCATACCTTCAGCTTAGACTGAATCTCGCGAGACTTTCTCCGCGCAAGAACCTGCAGATGACTAGACACCTGCAGGAGGAACATCAGAGGAGCGAGGGAGCAAAGAGGAAAAAAAGAGACAGAGAATAGAGAAAAATCACCAGGTGGCGCCACAGTCATACCTTTATGCCTGCTTGATATTCCCGCATTTTCTTCCTTGCTAACACCTGTATGTGACTAGATACCTGAGGCAAAACAGGCCCACACACATTTCATATCATTAAAACATATATCCTGGAACAATAAATCTGTCAGGTGATTTTAGACTGCTGACTTTTTAACAGTGTTAAAACAAAAGTTTACTGTGATCACTTGTAAACAACACATATATTGTCACTTCCTCAGACCTGGTAGCCTAAATACAAAAAAAATGTTTTTCTTATATATTATTATATTATTGTCTTGTTTCTAGTCCATATGTCTGGAAATGTCTTGTTTTCAGAAATATGCCAATATTCACTGAGTTTTTCCTTAAAACAAGCAAACTAATCTGCCAATGGGGTAAGCAAAATAATCTTGTTTTTTGACAGTGTTGGGCGAGCTACTTGAAAATTGTAGTGAGCTAAGCTAGCTATTCTACTTAAATTGTAGCTTAACCACACTAAAAGAGACTGTCTGGGAAATGTAGCAAGCTAAGCTAAAAGCTACTTGGCCAAATTAGCTTATCTACATCTAAGCTATTTTTGCAATTTTAATTTTTAAATTGAATTGAAGTCAATCATATTTTAGTGATCAGAAAAAAAAATAAATGAAATATGAGGCATATTTGTTCAGTTCAGTTATTTGCTGCAAACAATATGCTGTACTAAACAGAAAAAAATTATAATATATAAGAGCATTAATATATTAGAATTTTTAGATATTTGGACTAGAAACAAGACAACAAAATGAAAAAAACACATGAAAAAAAAATGTATAGTAAATGCTATAGTGTTTTTAAATCATACTATAGTAAAGTGCATAGTTATGTACATATAATAGTATTTTTACTTCACTTTCTTTATTGTCCACAAGTGGAAATTTATCTTTGGTTTCAACACACAACCACATCAGCAACACACAACCACATCTATCTATCTATTGTGCACAGAATAAAAAAAAAAAAAAACATTTTCACTAATTCTGACACATCCCCATTAAATATATTACACATAAATTAAATAATAAATAAAAACAATATAAAATCATCCCCATTGAATTGGATAAAAATAAATTATTACTATTACGATGTAATTTTTATATTAAAGTACATATGGTAAAATTATGGTGATATTTTTTGACTTTATCTTGTAATTACCTGTTTCCGTGTGCGTGTTTTTCCAGTTCGCAGCTTTATATATCTTGCTATCAATTCATTACGACCTGAAAAAAAACACAGAACGAAAATAAATAATTAAATTAACAAAAATAGACATTCAGTGCTGCAAATACAGACTGTGGCATGTCAATGAAATGAATTGTGGGAACTGAAAATGGAAAATGCATTAACCCTTACGACTTGTAACTCATATCAGAAAAAAGAAAGTACAAAATATGTTGACACCACAAGGTCATGGGTCTGATTTCCTGAAAAAAATATTAATTGACAAATTTATTGTTGGCACATTAATGCAAGTCAATTATAGCTTCCAAATGAATAGCTATATATATATATATATACACACACACACACACACATA